CTCGGTAATCAACTCGTCCAGACAATCGTTACTAAATAGCGTCTGACGGTTTATAAATCAAAAGGTGAATTCGAAATGTTAAATACGTTTATTATTGGCACACACCACAAAGCGAAGCGGAGAAGCAGTGAATAAAATGAAAGAAGCGACGTGAATTGTAGAAGGCTGTTAAGCCAATTCCTAGGATTACAATGCGAACAAATGGGCGAAGGAAGCGAATGAATGAGCCAACTCAAAGAGATAGAGCATGACTAAGAATATATTGTCAGACAACTATAAGACAGACATGCGACAAGCGAAATAGGCACACATGAATAAAAGCGACGAATATTTGACAAGGTCAAATGACAGGTGGAACACGTTATGTGAGCTCATACAAACCAGACAATAATAAGAACGAATGGCACATATAAATTGTTGTAATACAAATGGCTTGGTTAAATAAATTAATCGAAAGGGCTTGACCAAATCAAATGTAAACGAACTCGAATATATGTGGAGGCGCTACATGTTTATGCTTTTGAAGCAACTATCACAATTAGTATAGAAAATTTATATCCGTAAGATTTAAAATTCCTGTGAGAGCTTTGATAAATATGAACACAAATAATCTCATTAAACGAGAATGAATAACGATGATGTATGCAGTACAACTCGATTGACTTCTGAATGTATAATTGGAAGGAATTAAAACAGATCACGAAACTACAGAACGTTGTGAAATAATCCGTTGGATGGAATTCATCATTCTATATCAACTTCACTGACTACGAGATAGTATCCGAGAATGTGGAGAAGATTACACTATGGAGCCTAAGAAGATAGTCAACGCCATACGGAATTCTTATGTTGGATTAAATTGAAAAATCGTGCGAGGAGGGCAGCTCACAGGTTCTTTCGGAGTGAAGACCAGTGTCATACAAGGTTGCTTACTCTCAATTTTTACCTTTCTTCTGGTGATCGAATGGATTATGAAGACGTCAACATCTGGAAGGAAGTTTGGGATACGATTGACAGCCAGAATGCAGCTGGACGATCTAGACTTCGCAGATGACCCGGCTCTTCTATTACACGCGCAACAACAACTGCAAGAGAAGACCATCAGTTCAGCAGCAGCCTCAGCAGCGGTAGGCAAGATCTTTCGATGCAACACAACATGCACTAACCTAATCACACTTGATGGAGATGAATTTTGGAAGACGTAAAAACCTTAACATATCCATGCAGCATCATTGATGAGCAAGGTGGATCCGGTGCAGATGTGAGGGTGTGGAGCGCAAAGCAACGGTAGCATTCTTACAACAGAAGAACATCTACAACTCAAAACAACTACCGACCAACACCAAAGTCAGAATTTTCAATACAAATGTGAAGAGAGTTCTACTGTATGGGGTAGAAACTTGAAGACGCGGGAAAGCCATCAGCCAGAAGATACAAGTACTTAATAACAGTTGTCTTTGTAATATACAGAGGATCCGTTGACCAGACACTATCTGCAACAACCTACTAAGGGATACAACAAACCAGATCCCATGATAGGAAGAAATTAGGAGGAAGATCTGGAAGTGGATAGGACATACATTGCAGAAATCACCTGGCTGCATCAGAAGAGAAGCCCTTACTTCGAACCCTCAAGGTCACAGGATAAGAGGAAAGCCAAGGGACACATTACGCCGAGAAATGGAGGCAGACATGAGAAGAATGAAGAGCAGTTGTATCAAACTGGAAATATAGCCCAGTACAGAGTAGCTGGAGAATGACGATCACCGACCCATGCTCCATTGGAATTGACTGTTGTAAGTAAGGAAGTAAGTACGTAAGTTATTGAATAAACATTACCGAACAGCTGGCGATTCTTTCCAAATATGCAAATGATCAAGAGTATGAATGTATGGGACTATTACAAATTAACTGAACTTACAAACCTTCATGTATGACATTGAATGAGTTACTTTTAGAATATTTAATAGACGTCGTATTATTCTCATCTCTGACTTATATTCCGATACTAGAGATCGAATTATCAATGTCACACATTCAACACTATTGAATTCAATTGGTCTTGACTTGCAAATAAAACTTCGTGAACTTGACTCAATCGTCATCAACAATTTGAAGAGTGTTGTTGAAAATGTTTTTTTCTAATTTGTAACTTATTAATGTTAAGAATTGAAATTATTATTGCTATTATTAGTACTTTATCATTGTACCGCCGAAAAATTGTTACATTCAAGTAACAGACGGTTGATTTTTACTAGTATGCCACTCATTATCAGCTGTGTACACGTACGACCTAGCAAACAGGAGTCGAATCCGAGGCCTTCAATGTGTCGCAAACGAATGCCTAACATCTAGACAACTGAATCTGTACTCAGTGGTGTTAATGCGTAACTTCAATCGATTCACGACTTGCAATTATGGTGACATTACTGAATAAACGTGAAACTTTTCAATTTTTTTCAAAACACTGAATCGTACTAACTTTAGGTGAAAAAATTTTCAAGTTAGGAAAAAGGATATCGATTATTTTCTACTAAAATTGTCAGTCGATCAATCTCAGATCACCATTAGAAACCTGGAAACATTGGATGACCGTTTCGTACTGGTATGGGACTCATCGGCACTGTGCATCCATAACTCCTGCTACTTGCAGGAATCGAAACCAGGATCTTCAATCTTGTACATGAACGCCTAAACACCCGTGTACATGTCTAACTTTGATTAATCTAAGGAATTTTCTCAACCTCACCCATTCATTGTCTTCGGTCGATAACTACCTCACACCCGACAGTGCTAAACTTCACTGATCACGTCTTCGTACTAGAGAACTCTGAGAATTTCTTCACTAGTGAACACATTTTATAGTGTCAAGATAAAACTACTATAATAATTTAATGCGAAAATTAATTTATTCTTTTCTTAATAAAAGCAACAATTTTATTCAAATAAACAAGTATTCCCGTATTCTTTTTTTCAAAAAAAAATGTTAATCTAACCCAATTATTCACCATAAAATTAAATAACTTGAATAAATAATTGAACAATGAATAAACAGGAAACAAATGTAGCGATTTTAATGTGTTGCTATTTTCTTCTATTCGTACCATTTTCATACCGAAATTACACATCATTGAAGTTTGGTAAATAAAAAAAATTAAATTTTTATCAAACAAATCAACTTTACACAATAAACAATTAATCTTAGCAATTTTCGTTAAAAAAAAAATGAAATTTAATGTATTTATTTTCTATTTGGATTGTTAAGTTTGTTTGTAGATGAATATTGAAACTTTGTTTAAAGTGTGTTGATAATTTGTTTTAATGAAGTCAACAAATCAATAATTTAAAAAACTTGTATCGTAAATAATTTTGAACAATTTAAAAAAATGGTATTTAAAATAAATAAGAATATCCTGTTGAAGTATGACCTTGAGTAAAAACTGTGGATTGATTGAAGTTAGGTATGAACACTGTCAAATAACATCGGCTCAGTGGTTCAGAGGTTAGGGTTGAGGACTGAAGGGCCAGGCTTCACTTCTTGTGAAATTAAAAATAATTTCAAATAAGATAGAAGGTCCTGTGTCCGAATCCTGCTAGTAGAAGGAGTCGTGGATGCTCACTACCATTGATGAGTCCCATGTCTGGATGAAGAGGGATGGCTTTCAGTACTTCCAGGTTTGTAAAGATGGTGGACTGACATTGATCGATTCATGAACTTCGTACATGAGTACATAAGTTCAGGTTGCCATACCCCATCAGCCAGGGGAGACGCCACCGTTAGTTCAAATCCAATAGTGGTAGAGATAGTAGAAGGTTTAGCAGTAATGGAGAATATTAGGGAGCGAAGATATGATTTGAGAAGTATAATTCAGTGAGATAAATACAGGAAGAGAAAGGTAGAAATGATGAGGAATTCAGAAGGTTAAAATTAGAGAGAACACTTGCGCCATTGCAAACAATTTTGAGCCATGTCGTTCAAGGTCTCTAACTGTCGATGACTTTCGTCTCGCGGACCCTAACCAGTTAGTTTACACTTGATGGAGATGCTTTGGAAGCTTTAAAAACCTTTACACATCAAGGCAACATCACTGATAAATAAAGTGAGACTAATGCAGATGTGAAGGCACGGATTAGCGAAAATCATCAAAAATAATGGATGAATTTGCGCAAAGCCCCCCTAGATCAATCAAAGTTAGACATTAAGACAGTTGGATGTCAGTTCAGTTGTCTAGAGGTATGACGTTCATGCGCGAAACCGAATGTCCTGGGTTCGAATAACACCGTTGTAGAGTCCCGTACCTAAACGAAACAGCCATCCAGTGCTTCCAGATGAAACTGGATTTTCATTGAGCACTGTCAAAAGCAACATTTGAAAGTTTAACACCTACAAACATAACCAGTTTTTGTGAAATTTTCAAAATGATGTTGAGTTTTTTTCATTGTACAAAATAAACGTAGATAACTTGATGTGTTATGTATTATCGCGAGTGTTCACTGTTCAATAATGATGACTTATCTTAGATTAGGTGTGTCAGTAATCTTTGTCTAGAGGTTAAGTGTTTTGTCGCTAGGCAGCAGGTCCTAAGTTCGAATCCTGCGAGTTGCAGGAGTCATGAATATGCACTACCACTGATGAGTCCCATACCAGGACGAAACGACCGTTTTTCAGTGCTTCCAGGCTTCTTTCTGATGATGATTCAAGATTGATCAATTCAAAAATTAGGCAACTCAACAATCCTTGTTTCTGTAAAACTTTACCACTGATAATCTTATCCTTCTTCTTCGTCTTTCTGTTCACCTCTTTTTTTCTGCTTTTTTTTCTGTTTTCTTCTAGTTCCAGATAATGATTTTACACATAAATCCAAATTTGACAATCGTCGTTCAACATTGAACTCTGCATCAAATACATGTTTTCCATTAAATTTTCGAAGTTTGAAAAGAAAATCATGTTTTGATGAGACACGGAATTGAATCAATTGAAAACGGACACTAAAGATGTGATGAGTCATAGTAATAATTTGCATCAAACATCAAGTAGTCGAAAAATCAATCAATCATCCCCTAATGCTGATAAGTTGACAACTGTTAGGCATCAAGCAACTTCCATACAAACACCAACGTGTACAGTGAGTTATGACGACGAGGCTGGAGATGATGATATTGAGAAACGTTGTTTAAATCAAAGTGTAAGTCTTATTAAAAGTGATATATACTATATATATATAAATATATATATCTGTATTTGTATGTTATCATCCTATGAATAATGCTTTAATGGGCTACGACACGACTCCATTATTTATGAACAGTTGAATATGATGTGAAGTAGAATGTCTCCTTCAGTTTCCCTGATATTCATAATGGCGCGAACCTTGTTTACACAGACTGGCGTAATAAGAAGCCAAATAAGGATTCAGTTTGAATGAGTTTATTTCAAGCAATCGTTCATGGAGGTAGCACAGGCGAATAGATAGCTTGAAAGGCAAAGCAAAGCAAAGTGGAGAAGGTCAGCGAGCCAATTCAATTGTATAGATAGATGACTAAGCACTCATAGTCAGACACAAAAATAAGCTAGGCAGATAACAAGCGAGAGTTTGATTTATCAAATAAGAAAAAACTATTTAATTGTACAAATACGAAGATTCACTTGATTCACTAAGGGAAAGCTAATGATATAATGTGTCACATAACTATGACGATTACGTGGATTTTTCTCAGTAACGTATTCCATGAATTATTCAAACAAAGAACTTGAATGGTCCATTGGTTCGAATCCTGCTGGTTACAGGAAGCTTACTGTCACTGTGAGTCCCATACCAGCTAGAACAAAATCGCCGTCTTTCAGTGCGTCCAGGTTTTAATATCTGGCATAACAACGATTGGCTGTTGATTTCAAAAAATAACTCAATAATCTCCACAAGCCGATAATGGAACAGTTCAACTGTTAAACTGTACCAACTGTCATCAATACATGTTTCGATCTAGTAAGCGCT